GCTGCAGCTGAAAAAGTAGTTCCAGTGGAACTGGAACTGGATTGTGGTTCCGCTTGGAACGGTGGATAAATGTAGTTCCAGCTGCAGCGACACATCTCTACCGCTCGAGGCTCACGCGCTCAAGCGGCGAACTCAAGTACTACTCGACAACAGCTGATCGAATACTCAACTGTTGAGCCGGTCTAGTTCTCGTCTGTCGCCTGTCAACAAATAAACACCAGTTTGGGGTTATGTCGTCAGCGGCGTTAAATATCTGTAAAATCGGCCGGTTTAACTTTATTATGAGAAACGAAGTGCTATTATGAATAAATATGTAGTTGTGGATGTGTTTGTGTACTTCACTGTGAATAAAAATAGGCCTACGTTCTTTGGCCCATAGCCCAAGCTATGGCCAACACATAGGCCTAGGAGTAGGCTATTGAGGTTTAAAATCGGGTAAGTTCTGGGGTTCATCTATTCGTAGTACGTTTTTACCCCCCTTAAAATTTGGTACCTTACCCATTAAATTGATAATAATACATTAATTCAATAGGTGAAGGTAATTGTAAATGATCTATTGCATGCACCCTACGTTTTTCGTTTTAAATCTTACAAGTATTTATACTCTTCACATATTGATAAATTATTTTCTACTTTTTAGTGCGTTTAAAAACGTTTTGTTTTTAAAAAGTTTTTTATTTATATATTATTATTTATTTATTTATTCGTTAATTTTAACAATAAAACACTGAATGTCTCTTCATTCTAGTCATACATCTGTTTAAAGAGTTCATTAATGTTTCTTAAATAGGTTTATCCCTATTCACTCTAACTTCAGGGAGAATACGGAAAGCAATAAATAAATATATATTGCAATTTTGGAAAACTAGAAACAATATATGTATCATTCTTTTATTAGGTACCTATCATATTTTAAAATTCATATGGTTTTTTTTCTTAAGCTATCAAGAAAGCCCCTAAAAACTGTTCCCATTCACCCCGTGATACGGTATCCATGAAATATTATTATAAACCAAGAAACTTATGGCCCCCAGAGGGGTGAGAATCGTACAGCTTTGGTCAATAGTTGTTTTATATTTTTTGCCGACCATTTTACATTGTATTGTAGGTTAATAAATTGAAATGACTAATCATGAAAAAAAGAAAGTGTATACTTCAACAGCCCTTCATTATTTATTTAGTAATTACTCACCAAATTACTGGAGGTCCTTGGTGTCTTGATATTGATGAATTTGAGAGCCGCAAAATATGGACAATTTGACACATAAACTGCGTCCGTTGACTGCCCTGAGGATTTTAAGCTTTTTTAGCTCTGAGTGAAATTGGCTTCTCAGATTATGCCATTTCTGCTGTACCTCTGCAACATTGGTATTAAGCTTTGCACTGATGTTTTGCACAACTTCATGTTTTTTTACTCTATTCCTGTAGTCTTTCAATGTGACATTCCAAAGAATTTCATTTTCTTCATATAGAGCAATTAACTTCTTTGTCTCTGATTCAGTCTATTTCTTACTGTCTTCGGTGACGGTAGATTGGGCAGTAGAACCTCCGACACTGATCGCACACCTGTTTACACGAGCAATTTTCAATGTCGGACAGAAAACTCACGCAATTTTCTTCCTCTTGTATACATAGCTTTAGAATGCAGATAGTTTACAATTTTGTTTAGAAGTACAAACCACATGTTGACAATACTGATAATTTGTTTACATTTAAAAGTCTATATATATATAAAATATATATTGTTATATATATAATATATAACAATATTATATATACAATATTGACAAGCTCCACATTTACATTAGGTGTGTTGAATTAGCATGGATGTAACAGGCATATATATATATACATTTACAGGCATATATATATACATATATAAAATATACATGAACAGGCATATCCAAAATCCATGCTAATCCAACACACCTAATAAAAATGTGGTGCTTGTCAATATTGGTGGTTTCACAGAATGTATTCTCTGTGACTGTAATACATTTCCCTCCACAATTAATTATTTGTTAGTGACCTCCCTTTGCTTCTTTTTGCCTACATTATAGTGCATGTATTTACTCTTCATGCGTAATGGCAACCCCAAGTTGGTTAAAGTTGTCTTTGTGAAATGTACATGGAATGTTAGCAAATTTCTCGTATAGGGATAAAGCTTTCTTTTATCATTGGTCTTATAGTATGACCTAAACCCTGAATTTACTCATTCATTTTGCTGTCCCCAGAGGCCAAAAACCCCATTTTTTCAAATTAATATTCTTATGTGTGTGCGTTAGCACGATAACTTGAGTAAAAATCATCCGATTTAGATGGCATTTCGTAAAAACGTGTAAACCGACATTTATTCGTTCGAGTTCGCAAAGTTCCATGATCGGACTATAAAAACAGGTTTTTTATGGCTTAAAAATTTGATCCCAGAATTAACATCCAAAAAACATAAAATGTTATCATTTCTTTTTTTATCCTATTTTTTCCTAGAGCTTAAAAAAATCAAATAATTTAGTATATTGATGCTCCGTTGTTTACTTAATGGTAATGTAGGAAAAAAACAAAGTTTAATTCAAAATCTCCTTGTTATTCTTATGGAGAATTAATTAACTGTTGTATTTTCCTGGTTTAGGGATATATTTTGTTCAAATTCAGCAAAATTATTTATATCATATATTAGGCTATTGACATCTATAATATTAAAACGAAACAGTGTTTTTTTATTTCACAATTCTGGATCAACCACTCGACGGATTTTCATGTTTTTTGTGTTGAAAGAAAGATAATTTTGAGAACTAGGGAATGTCGAAGCCATAATTTTAGTATAGGGTCCCAGTATTTTAGAAATTAAGTTTTGATTTTTTAAAAGTCTAGCAGCCGACGCTAAGATTCTAAACTAGCTTTTGGCATAAAATAATTTGCTTAACATAACAGCTGTAAACATTCAGCTTTTGTGTCACAAACTCGGCATTTGGAACAAATTAAAAGACATACTAAGGGTTGACTTATTTATACTATGTGTAATGCTAATCATTGATACGTTCAATCCTTCGATAAGAGGATGACGGGTTAATTAAATATTCATAGTGAAATACTAGGATGTTCAAATTATTTTTTTAAGTAATCTTTGTAATCTTCGGTTTGTTTTAGTGCAATATAATTTGTATTAACGAACAGCTGGTTAATTATTATAAAAATGCCCTATAGAACTATGAGGTTATTTACTCTGATTTTGTCATTGATTATAGGAAATAAGTAAGATTAGTAGACCACCGAGATAAGTAACACCATCGATGTACAATTCGAGGCTCTGTACACGAGTTTAAAAAAAATATATGCAAATTATTTCACTGCTCAACTTTTATGGAAAGGGTAGGAAAATCACAATTTTTACATGTTTTAATTCATCTTGGCATCTTTTTGGGTACTTACGTATTAAACGGAGGCCACATTTTGTCAGCGCGCTGCGGCGGTTATGTTAGGTTGGGTTATCATAATAGAAAGTATAACTCGTCTGGTATCGTTCGATTCATAACGAAGCGAGGAAAGTCCTACACACATAATATTTACGATAACCCAACCTAACATAACCGCCGCAGCGCGCTGACAAAATGTGGCCTCCGTTTAATACGTAAGTACCTCTTTTTGTTTACAATCAATGTTTTTGAATGCTTGAACTTTGTTTGGATTAGGCCCGAAAATATTGATGTCATAAAGATAGAGATCAAGAATCCTCAGGAATACGATTTTAAATTACCACCTCAACCTCGGACGGGTTTTATCCAAAGATATAAAGATGAATGATATAGATTGAACACAATGTCATCATTGGCCTAGGATACTGCAATTAGACTAACCATCCTTTTATGAAATCTAAAAAGTAGTTTGGCGTGTGTTTAGTTGTGGTTACGTTTGGAGGCACTGAATGTTTTATAGTTTAAATAAATGAATATTGGGAATTACGATGTACATTGATTCAATGAGGGTGGTTTAGTTATCAAGGATATTAGAACTGATAACAGAATCGGAATAGATAATAAACATAAACAATTAATTACGTCACTAGCTTTACTAGCGTTGTTACTTTTTAAATTCCTGCAACATGTGACCAGTTCTTTTGTTCAAATTAATATTATTTTATTTTTGACTCAGCTGTTTACAAAACAAACTAATATGTTGTTATGTTTACTTTTATTTGTTTACACTTATTTATTTAGCAATTGATGCAGTGAAATTGACATAAAGGATGTTTGTGGACGATTCCTTTAATGATGTCAAGACACCAACGTTATAATTATGTGTACTGTGAATTTTATTGGATGTTTTCGTATTATTTGAGGGAGTTTCAATTCAGACCTACTGGAAATTGTGTATAGTATGAGTAATTGTATTGTGGCGATATTGATTTTGGAAGAGGCAGGTATGCGATGGAAGGTGATATCATTGACTAGGTCTATACACTTCTCAATTAATAATTACTCTTTCTACTGTAGGCTGCAATAAAATTTGTCTTTATTCGTGTAAGCTAGATGTTCTTAATTATAGGCCTACACAGTTTTAACTGACTACTCCCTTACGTAGGACGGGCTAACACCTCGTTTTAATAAAAACACATTTAATTACCTTCACTGTAACAGTAAACCTAAGTAATCATTAAAATAAATATCGAAATAAAAAATGAATCTGACAATTTTAATGTAATATTTTAGTGAAAATCCAACCAGGTTAGAGGAAATTAGCTTAGTCTGCAGGTTTGCTGTGGCGGAGCTATTTTTATTTTATAATGACCTTGGATTTCTGAGCTTTGCAACTTGCTAGTTAAAGTTAAGTAATTTTAAAATATGTTAACAATATTGAATTTAACTTGGCAAGGACAATGATGATTTGCGTACCAGCGTTAATTGTTGATAGCTGAAATAACCATCTGTAATAAATATTTTTTAGTTATAATTTTTGTAGTAACAAAATACAGTTTAGTGTAAAATGTCATATTTTTATTTCAGGTGACCAATACCACTTAGTTTTGGCCTACGAGCATCAGTTGTCCAAATCTGCCTTTGCCTTTGTTGTTGGAAATTTTGGTGGTGTGAAAGGAAGAGACTTTATTTGTGTTCAGTCATTAGATGGAGTTTTAACATTTTTAGAACAAGAAACATTTTCTGTTTCTCGAAACCTCCCATGTTTTTTGCTGCCTTCACCTTTTGTATACATCTCTTCTTCAGATTCATTCATCATTCCCAACGCTAACTGGATGCTAGAGTCTTACAGGTAAAATGTATTGATTTTTATCCATGTTTGCCTCCTGGATTGATAATGAGTAATAATATAATAATAGGTTAAATACCTTATTTACGTCATCAGTCAAAGTTGTCTTTTATAATGACTATAGTTTTGGGGCCAACAGCCCCATTGTCCAATTTTCTGTCTTGTTAATTACTGTTGATAGCATTGGTCTCCGTTGAAGTTCACATATATACATACACTGACACACAAAACATTTATATTTACACGTAACATTGGGAATTTATACTTTTAGCCGGCCTAAACAAAAGTGATTATATTGTTGTGCGGACCGGTACACTGACTGACTAACATTGATATTACCTATTACATTATAAAAGACGACTTGGATTGAGGACGTAAACAAGGTATTTAACCTATTAATATTATTATTATTGATTTTTAGTATTGATGAGGTTAATATAGACCAACAATTCTCAACCTGGGGTGCCTGAGCGCTCCTGGGAAAATAATAAATACGAATAAAAAATAAAGTAAGTATAATATAAAATTAATTTGGGATTTTAGCCATAGAAGACTTTAAATTCAATTACAAATCCTTATAAAAAATAGATTAAAATGATTAAATACGGTACATAGAGGGATTACAATGCTGCAACTAAATATATATGAGCTTAATTTGAGTGCTGGACCATCTGTTCAAATTCATATATACAGGGTGTTTCACGGGAACCCTGACAAACTTCAGGAGATGGTTCCTGGGGCCAAAACTGGGAAAAATAAGCATATGTCCTAAACTCACTTGTTTTCTAGTTATACATAATGATAGGTTTTTTTTAGGTTTTCAGTGTATCTGTTGAACATTTTGACCTCTCGATTGAAAAATTGACATGATATTTTGTTTGTTAAAACTTGCATTGATAGATAGAATATTACATTTCAAAGAGATTGCATTACTATTTTGGGCAAACATGTTGGTTATGACTGATAAAAATAAGTTTAAAAATAAAATATTTATGAAAAAATCTAGATTAAAAATTATTATTTGTTTTTGACAGCTCTTCATGCAGTAACCATTCAAGCTTTTGGCTTGCAACTTTACCAAAAGTTGTAGAATTTAACGGAGAACAAGGAAATGTGAATTTATGTGTACCTTTTATTGGGATTATTTTTGACAAAATCTTAAGTATTGTAAAATGTCAAAAATTAATTAAATTAAGCAAAATAAAAAAAATTGTATACATTTAGCTTATTTATAAACACATCCTAATAAAAGTTGGTATATGGGTTCTCCTAGTTGAGAAGTATTGCATAATGGCCTAAAATTTCCTTCTTTTTCATTTTTAATGATAGAAAACAAGCATACCCACTTTCCTATGTTAACCTTATGGGGAAAAAATAAAATACGTTAGCTCGCATATTTCTGAACACATCTTATTAAAACTTGGTAAATCCCTTCTTTTAGTTGAGTACTACATGATTGTGGCCTAAAATATCCGTTAGATCAACGCAAAAAGGTTACAGAATGAATGGCTATTAAAATAAAAACATATTTTTTTATCTCGTTTTTTTAGATCAATTATTGGTCTTAATAAGATTTTTTTACCACAGTCAATATTTCTGCACAAAGTAGTAATGGCATCTCTTTAAAATTTAATTTTCTATCTAATCACAAACAGTTTTTTTGAAATATTATATCAATTTTAGGTCAAAACGTCATTTAGGCAACTAATGTTTTTCCTAAAGGATTGGAGTAAGCAGGCTTCGTGCAACAGAAATATAAAACTAGAGATTTTAGGCCATAATCATGTAGTACTCAACTAAAAGAAGGGATATACCAAGTTTTAATAAGATGTGTTCAGAAAAATATGCGAGCTATTGTATTTCCCCCCCCCCTAAGGTTAACATAGGAAAATGGGTATGCTTGTTTTCTATCATTAAAAATGAAAAAGAAGAAAATTTTAGGCCATTATGCAATATTTCTCAATTAGGTGAACCCATATACCAACTGTGATTAGGATGCGTTTTAAATAAGCTAAATATTCAATTTTGTTTATTTCGCTTAATTTAATTAATGTTTGACACTTTACAATATTTTAGATTTTGTCAAAAATAATCCCAATAAAAGGTATACATAAATTCACATTTCCTTGTTCTCCGTTAAATTCTACAACTACATGAAGACCTGTCAAAAACATAATATAATATTTCATCTAGATTTTTTTCAAAAATATTTTATTTTTAAACTTATTTTTATCAGTCATAACAAACATGTTTGCCCAAAATAGTATTAATGAAATCTCTTTGAAAGGTAATATTTTATCTATCAATGCAAGTTTTATCAAAATATCTTGTCAATTTTTCAATCTAGAGGTCAAAATGTTCAACAGATACACTGAAAACCTAAAAACCCCTATTTTTACGTATAAATAGAAAACGAGTGAGTTTAGGACATATGCTTATAGGACATTTCTTTATAGTTTTGATCCATTTCCCGAAGTTTGTCAGGGTTCCCGTGAAACACCCTGTATTACAGGGTGTCCCGTAAGTAAACAGCCAAACTCCGGGAAATGGTTCTATGGGTCAAAATAAAGAGAAAATCAAAAATAACATTTTTTCCAAAATCGGATATCCGCCATTTTGTATTTTTTACATTAACATTTTTAATTTTTTCAACCGAACATTATAAAACTTAGTATGTAGGTTAAGGTAGAAAAGACCAATGTTAGTAAAAAAAATCATCTTGATTCAACTTAAAATTTCAAAATGGCGGAATTGCATGACAAATTCAACAATATACTGCTCAAAGCGATACAACCTAATAGCCTCAAAAAAGGCCGCCGAAAACTGTGGTTCACCGTCTGTGAGCGTGGAAAGTTTAGAGGTGAGGTTAGGTTAGGTTTAGTTAGGTTAATTTAAGTTATTTAGTTAACCTAATCCAACCTAACCAACCTAACCTAACCCAACTTTCTAACATGGGTCTCTTCTACCTTAACATACATACCAAGATTCATAAAGATCGGTCGAAAAAATGCAAAGATAAAAATGTTTATGTAAAAAATACAAAATAGCGGATATCTGGATAACGAAGCGATTTTGAAAAAAAATGCTATTCTTGATTTTCTCTTTATTTTGACCCAATGAATCACTACGTAAATTATGTCCCCACCTTTTTTTGAACCTCTACTAATAATTTAGTAAAGGTTTAGTAACTAAGTAGCCTAAAGGTTTAAACTAGTAAAGGTTTAGTAACTTCTACTAAATTTAGTAAAATAAAAACGCCATTTTGTTTTTTTCACTTATTAATTTTTTTCTAAATAGTGGTTAAAGATTTGAAATTAAAACTTTGCACAAACATTTATGACAACTAGACAAAACTACAAGTAATTAAGGTATGAAAAATTTCAAATTCATTAAACAAAATGGCGGCCATTTAAAGTTTTAAAAATCGATTGACACCTTATTTTTTAAGATTGGACGAATATTAATTGAAATATGGCAGCTTTAGTGATACGTGACCGCTGAAAGTTAGTTGCAGTGCATGCATCCAGTTGTACTTTATTTACTAATCTAATTTAATGTATCAGCAGCCCTCTTACGTAAACACATAAATTAAAATATAAATGACTAACAGCAATATATAAATATATAAATATTTGAATTTGAACGGAGGGTCTTTTTGGCCTCTGAAGACCTCAAAACAAAAAGTAAATGGGGTTTTTTGCTAATATACAGGGTGATTAATATAATTGTTCCAGCTTTTTATTCGAAAGTTATAAGAGATAAAACAAAATGTTAAATTGTAACTGCCTTTTTGGTCAAGTTCAAAAAATAATTTTGGTCACTATTTTTCCAATATGGCCGCCAACTTTGATTTTTCTTATGGAAGACCCTATATTTTATTATTGTTTTAGAAAGTAAATGCAATTTAAAAACGTTTTTATTCTTGGCATCTTTTCTCTAAAGCAACTCGTGGCAGGGAAATTTGATAATAGGAAACCCATGTATGTTTTGCCTTATTCTACCCCATTTTACAATTAAAAATCGTAATATTTCAGCTATTTCTTATTCAATCTTTTTGAACTTGGTATTGTTTGATAGGGAATTAAGAAAGTTAAATAAAAATGTTCTTTAGTTTTTTTTCATAAAATTGGCCTTTTTGAATAATACTACTGCCATGCAATAGCATAGCAACGCTGATGGCGCTGCCTACGGATTGACAGGCAAAGCTCTCTCAAACCGCTTAATGCTTTTTACCATGCGGTTGGCATTCTGGGTTATAGTAGTACGTTTTCTGTGCTTGGTATGTATGTTAAGGTAGAAGAGACCCATGTTAGAAAGTTGGGTTAGGTTAGGTTGGTTTGGTTAGATTAGGTTAACTAATAGGCCAGTCAAATCGTACATAAAAAGAGGCTAAAATCGCAAAGCGTGATGTATTGCTGCATTTTTAATATGTTGTTGGGACCAGTTAGGGTAACTCAAAACCAAGTTTGCAGCTTCGAGATCCCTGTGCTCCCTGCGTAATAAGTAAAATATTTTAAAAAAATATGTATTTTTTTAGTTTTTGGTCTATAACTTATTAACGGTGCATTTTTCTTAATACTACTCAAATTTAATAATTAAAGTACATAAAATTTCCAACAATTTAAGCATAGTTTCATTTTTGTGTGTCAAATAGTTTTTGAGCAATGATATTTCTAATATTACAAATCTGTTTAAGTAATTACCATAATTTACATTTTTCCTGGGTTCGACCCACAAAAATTGTGTAGTACCCATATTATGGCAGAATTCTTAAAAACTTCTTTTGTGGTAAATTGTATTGGCTTTCGTTTAATCACAAAGCTAAGTCTCTATCTCAAACACTTTTCTGAAAACTATACAAATAATAATTTATGAATATCACGATTTTTTTCATTTAACGTGTTTAATTGTTTTTACAACGTGTGTTTAAGTTTTAAGAGTTATATAAATACATTTTTACTATGCTTTGGTTAGTAAAAACAAAATGTAATATAAATGTTTGTAAAAACAATGTACAATAAATATCCCCACCGCAGAAAATGATCAAATATATCGGTCTCGGCACTCCCGGCACTAAGCCTTACCATACCACCTATGGTAATAGCTACTTCCTATCAGTATAATTAAAAAAGAAGAATATATGTTAAATTAGTGTTTTATTTCTATTAGACATGTTTTCTTTATGTTAAGTTTTAGATAGTTTTTGACGCCATTCCATGTACTGGTTTATGTACAATATGAAATAAAGACGATTTGATTTTATTTCAACACAATCGTTGCGTAAACTACTACGGTATATAATTTTTTTTGCTATTTCAAATATTTATATGATGCATTTTTACTCAAATAGTACAGGTTCTACATCAATAAAAGACTCATGCTGATTGCTGATGTACTTTTTCCCGCAGCATCTTTACCGAGAGTCTGAAAGACGACCTCCTGTTGTTGTGTCAACCTTGTTCACTGGTTAAAAGGACAAGGATGTCACTTGCATAATTTTGATTAAAACAAATGGAAAAATTACTTTGTTAAGTTAAAATGGCATAAGATAAGCTGTGTTTTGATCTGCTATATATATAGGGTGAATATTATTGATTTTGTACTGTATTGAAATCGGTCCCTGGTCCAGATCTTACCATGACGGTAATAGCTCATTCCCTATATAGGAAATTTGCTAAAACGTTATAATTTTATTTATTTAGATGTTGAAAAAATATCATTATTTATACACAGCCGGGACTGATTTACTTATTCGACTTCAAATTCTCAGAGGTCGAAAACACCTTCCGTTCAAGTTTATGTACATGTGTGTGTATGTCCATCAGCACATTAAATGGAGTAAAACTCATCCAATCTTGATCAACTTAGAAGCAAATGTTATTCTTACGTCCGAACGAGTTCGCGAACCAGTATGATCGTACTAAAGGGAACGTGGTTTTATGGGATTAAAATAGGTTTCCCCATTCTCACTCTAAAAATTCCTCCTAGGAAGCTGGAGAAAAGTGCCTAATTGCTTTGTATGGTGGCAACACATTCCACGCACGATGAATTAGAAAACCTTCGGTTCCACCTGTACTGTTTGTAAAGTCAGCAGCCAGCGCTAAGGTAAACTTATCACGCTTGCCCCTCATCCAAGAAGCAGCTTCCTTCCACTAATTTCAAACATACCACCAAGTGCAAAAATGGTTAGGAATTGAAAAGGATCACACAGAGTGGGGTTGTTCAAATAGCACAGCAGGATTGGTTCCAGTGACAACCTCATGCTCATGCAGTCCAGCTCCATCCAACCTTCTGAAACTAATATCATGTAGGTGCCAAAAGGGATGCACGGGTGCTTGCACATGTCGGAAGGCCGGGCTAAAGTGTTCACCATTATGTATTCCTTTCTCTGCTAAGAATTGCCAAAATGTAACATTACCATTTATTGAAGAGGATGAAGATGACCCTGACGATAATATGTCTTTACCCGATGAGTTTGAATCAGGTAACATTTCTACCTTGCCTTCAGTGTCCAAAAAGCCAAAATACTAATACAGTATTAAGAATGTTTTTGTCATAATTTATCTTCAAATATAACTTTTCACCTTAAATATGTTTTTCCTCATTTCGTTTTTATTACTTGATAGTTGGGGGACATTGTTTTAACTCATTAAATAAAACAAATCGTGATATTCATAAATTATTATTTGTATAGTTTTCAGAAAAGTGTCGAAGATACAGACTTGGCTTTGTGATAAAACGAAAGCCAATAAAATTTACCATAAAAGCAGTTTTTAAGAGTTCTGCCATAATATGGGTATTACACAATTTTTGTGGGTCCAACCCAGGAAAAATGTAAATTATGGTAATTACTTTAAATAATTTGTAATATTCAAAAAATCATTGCTCAAAAACTATTTGACACACAAAAATGAAACTATGCTTAAATTGTTGGAAATTTTATGTACTTTAATTATTAAATTTGAGTAGTATTAAGAAAAATGCACCGTTAATAAGTTATAGACCAAAAACTAAAAAAATACACCATTTTTTTTGTATTTTACTTATTACGCAGGGAGCACAGGGATCTCGAAGCTGCAAACTTGGTTTTGAGTTACCCTAACTGGTCCCAACAACATATTAAAAATGCAGCAATACATCATGCTTTGCGATTTTATTGTCCAATTTGACTGGCCTATAAATCTATACTTATTTAATATGCAAGCTCATTTTTTGTGACAATTACTCCTCCGAAATTACTTAACCGATCGTCATGTTTTTGGTGTCATTGGAAAGAGCGTAACATGAAGTTGTGCAGGAAACTTTCTTTTTAGGTAAATAATTAGAGAGTGAGGCCTTGGGACCCTTTAAAGTTTCGTATTTCTCCATAAGATTAACATTGGAAACAAAAATTGTTATGAAACTGCAGCTGTTGTCAGAAATCAAAAGTAAGAAGAAGAGCATAATTGTAAACAGTCAATAAATTTGCTAAATTAACAGTTTGCTACAAACATTTGCTGACTTGGTTGAAATCCGTTTTAAAATAATGCCTGTAATACTTAGCAATTGCTTGAATTCGAGCAACAGGGACACTAGTAACTTAAATTAACCTAACTAAACCTAACCTAACCTCACCTCTAAACTTTCCACGCTCACAGACGGTGCATCCACAGTTTTCGGCGGCCTTTTTTGAGGTATCTTTGAGGCGGTCGTATCGCATTGAGCAGTATACTGTAGAATTCGTCATGCAATTCCGCACAATTTGAGTACCCACAACATGGGGTTTGATCGGGCAATAATTTTTTTCCGCTTTTCCGCAAAAAATGAATATCATTTTTGGAATCGGCACTAAAAAACGAACATTTTGGGGGAAAAAATTTTTTAGAACGTTCACTGGAAGTTGATTAGTTTACCTAGAAGGTAACTACTACCCCATTTCATGCAAGGTAAAATGTGTTAGGTTACTGGATTAAATGGGATATATTCATAAATAGGAATACTTCTTTTAAAAACCACAGACAAATTTACTATGACATTTTTTTATGAAAGCGTGGACTTTTTACTGTACTCATTGAATGATTACATTCCAGGTATGAAGTTTTAGCAGATACAAATCGCAAACTATTACCTTGGTGGAGTTTAAACATTGGGGAGCCGATTGTGGACATGCGGGTCATAACAGTACAAAGCTCCAAAGCCTCAATAATTGTTTTAGGAGAGAGAAATTTATTCTTTGTTAAAGAAGGTGGTAGCCTGGAGCTGGTGAAACGGCTGCAATTCACCCCTTGTTGCGTACATCCATACATCACAGGTGAATATTGGCTCAACTTCTGAAGGATTTTATTTCTCAAGGTTTTCCGTTTAAGGAGGGTGACATAATTTCTAATGTACAAAACCAAATACCAAAAATAAATCTTTTGCTGATTAGTTGATTAAAAGATATAAAATAAATTAGAATACAGTAAAGTCCTACAAATTCATCCCCCAATAAACTAACACTTCATCCGATCTGCCAGGGAACCCATAATTAATTTTTAGACAAGTTTTGTGCTACCCTACGCCGGTGTTTACACTTATTTATGACCCTAGTATCAAACTACAAAACTCTGTAGCTTTAACAGTTACACAAGCTTTGCCTAGAACTTCTTGCAGACATTAAGACCGAGACACTTGATTCTTGCATACCTGACAGCTGACATTGACAACCAACAATTACCATGAATTTAAAAAAAAAAGTAAGTTGTGTATCTTCTTCAAAAATGCAAATGTATGTATGGCATTGTAATGTAGTTACTTTTAATCTAAAGTTTAATTTTCAATTGTTTGTCCTTTTTCTGATAACTATTACTCTTCACTTGTCTGGTCTATACAATGCCGAGTTTGTGGGACTGTACTGTTCTAATATTATTGTGGTCCTCATATTTTTTATGATTACATTTTTAGCCAAACATATTAACCACAAAAGTGTGTAATAAGGTTGCTTTTGAATCATATAGTAATCTCCCACAAAGGATGGTTTTAAAAAACACATTTTATTTATACACTAGCTGGCCCGACAGACGTCGTCCTGTCCTAATGTGGTTTTATGTCAATGCTCGATCATTTTCAAGATGAGCTTGTTCGCATGGCTCAATCACGTCCTGGTTGAAGTTCATTTGCTATGCTTACTCACCTTCAGGTTGGAGCTCGTCAAACTTCACACAAACCATCCTTGAATAATCCTTAATAATGCCTGAAAGTTTCATTACAATCTGTCGAGCGGTTTCGGAGTCCATAAAGGACAAACAAACAAACAAACATACATTGGATTTTATATATATAGAAGATGAGCAATACTTTCATTAATAATAAATAATAAATTGCAATATTTAATAAAAGTTTAATTTATGTAATTTTGTATGGTGAATTTTTAGAACCCGGCCTCAACGTTATGGTGCTAGTTGTGGCAGATACAGCGACTCTACTGGTTTACAACTCAGTTTCATTATGTTGGTCGTCCCAGCTGCCTTTTACTCCAGTTTCCATCAGTAGAATTAATCTGAAGGTTTCACATACATGCCTCTCAACAATCACTGAAGCACATTGCAGTTTGCTATAGTTTGTGCACAAATTTTGACAATTTGCAACAGTTACTCGTCTACAGTTATTCATCTATTTTATTTTTGCACTAATTTCAAATTTTTTTTTAATGCAAAATTTTTCACCTTAGAAAGTCCATTGTAATAACTTGAAAATTATTTAGCAAAAAATCACATTTTTAATTTAGTAAAATTTAAAAATAAGTTGTATTGAGCCACATATGCAATGACAAGTACCAGTAGTTCACTGGCAGACAATCGCAGTTCCACTGTGGTTGATTAATCTGGCTTTGTATTTATAAATTGTTTTTATAAATAACAAATTAGATTATGATTTTGTTTTTGTTAATTTAAATGCATTCAAATGTTAATGATTTATATCTTAATCTGTAGGTGGGATATAGTTTAGCTAGCTTTCTTAAGAATATTGGAATCTAGGAACTTAAATTTAATATACAAAAAAGGTTAGGCCTATCTTATAACATAAAACTGATATATTTTGCCCTGGGAAAGGTTTTATTTGGAGAATAGATTGATGATAGTAATTGAAACGAGGAGTTTTCACCACTATACTAAGAATAAACATCTGTATTTTCATTTTGCTATGTGACCTTGGTTGTGTATCTAAAAACCTCTGGACTTTAATTTTCTCAACTAAGCTCTATCCATTATTAGCCATTATATGTCTTAAAACGCAATCCTGGGGCTATTATCTGAACTTTACCCCTTTTCAAAGAAAACGTCTCATGTTCCCAGTGTGCACAAGGCCTGGTAGCCCTGTTGGCTGAGGAGGGTCAGCTTGTTTGCTGCTACCTTGGCACAGAACCAGCCGTGTTTATAGCGCCTCCTCTCACCAACAAGACAGTCACATACGACGAGTTGCAGCACAGGCTCTACACCTTGCAACAGGAAATTGATTCTACATCACAGAGTAGGTTTTAATTGTTGTAGTAATTGAACCTAGTTTAACAGACTCTGATGGTATAAAGGTAATTTTTATTTTTGCTACTATTAATAATTTCCGACCTATTAGTGTCATTCAAGATTATGTTTAGATTTAGGCGTGGTAATTTATGTTTAATTTAACCTTACAATTTATAGAATATTTATTAATCTAATAAAATTTATATTATTTTATTGCTTTAATTTAACCACTTAAGTCAGTTTCTTCTAGTGTTAATCTATATTTTCTCAGCTAAACATTTTCCCATTCATCTGAAAATGAATCTTTCTTTTCCTGGACTCCAATTTTCTCTTTATAAAACCGCCTTGAAGGGATTAAGTACTATGATTCCGCCTGTTTTGTCTTACAAAATACTCAAAAGTTGTTTCTGACACTCCCCTATCTTCTTTAGGTTCTGGCATCTTTTACAATTTTGTTTTTGTTTAAAGCCTTTTTTTATGCTTGGATTAAATAGTCGACAAGATCATATAAATTAAAACGTGACAGGGTTTTTTATTTAACGATTCTGAATCAACCACTTGACGGATTTTCATGATTTTTGTGTTGAAAGAATGATAATTTTGAGAACTAGGGAATGTCGAAGCCATAATTTCAGTTTAGAGTTTCAGTTTATTAGACTTTAAGTTTTAATATTTTTTAAGTCTATCAGCCGTAACGTAACAGCAGCTGTAAACTTTTGTGACACAAATTCAGCATTTGGATAAAAATGAAATTGCATACATAGGGTTGACTACTTATTTCTACTATGAGTAATACTAAAATCATTTATATGTTCATTTATTTGGTAAGAGCATGGCGGATTATTTTAATATACATAGTAAAATACTAGATGTTTTAATTTATGTTTTAGAGTAGCCTTAAAAATATTGGGTTGGTTTTAGTTCAATATAATTTGTTTGAACTAAACAGCTGGATGGATAAAAAAATATTCTATAGAACTATGAGGTTATTTTATTTAGTCTATGATTTTGTCATTTATTATAGGAAATGAGTAAGATTAGTAGAGATGAATATACCACAGAGATAAGTAAGACCATTGCTGTAAACAAGTAGAGGTTCAAAGAAAAGCTTATGCAAATTATTTTAATGCTCGACTTTTTGAGGAAGGAGTAGGAAAATTGCAATGTTTACAAGTTTCAATTGATCTTGGCAGCTTTTTGTCTACAATAAATGTTTGGCTGCTTAAACTTTGTTTGGATTAGGCCTGAAAATATTGATGTTAAACAAGGAGATCAAGGATGATCAGGAATCACGATTTTAAATTATACTACCACAACCTCTGACGGGTTTTATCCAGATATAAACAGATGGATGACATAGATTAAACACAATGTTGGTAATTGGATTGTGGTGATAATTGTTAGGAATCAGAAATAACTCTAATGGTAATTGTATTTCATATTTTATTCAGAAAAGCTTACAAAATCAAACCTAATTAACCTGACTCTCCATTCTTAATTTCTTGCGTGTTGTTTACTCAAATCCAGTCTATTCAACAATTGCTTATTACAGTATTAGTTTCAGTCCAGGCTTTGGATTACTAGCAAAGCCTACTAAATTAAGCATACATTTATATATATATAAATTATTACTAACCATTTATTTTAAATTCATAACATCTCCTCCCTGCTTATTTAAATTCAAATATTAAATAAAACTAGTGGTCGTCCTGTGGTCGAAACTCGACCAAAAATAATTAATGTACAGACTTCTCTATTTTCTCCCCACACTGTAAATAAAACATGTGATTGGAATTTCTTCCCTTTGTTTTGATTTTCTGTTTACATTTTGTTGTTATTTCGTCACCATCATGGCAACCCATATGGTCCATGTTAATTTTTTGAAGTTTTCAAATTCATTTTTTGTGCTTATTTGTTAGCCTATTTTAATTTTTAAAGGCATTCTGCACATCTACAGGAAAATATCTTTCCAACAGTATGCGTAGATTTTCCCTGCGATGCACACGAGCTGAGAAAAAAGGTTTTAAAGAAACATGCTTGCCTATTAATATATAGATAGATAGATTAAACCAAAAAAAAATTCATATGGACTAACAGTATGTTTCTTAGTAAGGAGATTTACCACATTTTGTCACAAGTCCAGTTTTTTTAGGTGCTCTCCTAATACATTTAGATCGCACAGGACTCATATCATTGCTTGGTGGAGTCTTTTCTGTACTAATGTCTTCCTGCATCTTTTTATGTTTAGAAGATCGAAGTGCAACACCTTTTATCAGAGATTTGATAGGAGATTGAAAATTTGTGATCTTGTCAACTGGCCTACTTAATCCTAAATTGTCCCTGGGTATCAGTAATCTGACTTCTTCCCCACAGTCTGATGTTTCCTTTTGTTTTAAATGGTCTGCACGAACAAATCTTGTTCTTCCTTCCACATTTACTAATGGCAGCCAATTAACTTGTTCTTGCTTAACACTGCGAACATAAACTGGTTCTCCTTCAACAAAAAATCTTGATTTACCCCTAGAGAAATCTGCATGAGATTTAATTAATCGCTGCTTCTTTTCTATTTCTCCTGATAGATGAGGTTTAAGCAAACTTAAAATGGTTCTAGGTTTGGTTTTCAAAAACATCTCTGATGGTGAAAGGCCAGTAGTCGAATGTAAATTCCTATAGGTAAATACGAAGCTGTCAATCCTATGCTGTAGTGTTCTATGAGGTTGGTTGGTTGCATCATATAACATCTGTTTCAGAAAATCTTCCTTTGCTGTTTGAACCATTCTTTCTGCTAAACCATTAGAGGCTGGATGATACGGTGGTGACAAAACATGGTGTGTTCCGTTGAAAGTTAAGAATTCATTGAATTCTTGACTTGTGAACTGTGGTCCACCATCTGTGACAATTGTATGAGGCAGACCATAAGCGGCGAAACAAGTTCTCAGTTTCTCTATAGTCTTTGATGATGTTGTGGTTCACATTAAAAGATTTCTACCCATTTTGAATGGCTATCCACTAGAATCGGACGAGATTGGATTTTTAGTTCGAGTCGAGACGAGACGAGATTCTTTATTTCTCATAAAATTTTGAGACGAGATCGAGACAGGATTTCCCTTCTCATACACAACAGGAAATGCACGTTCAAAGTTTTTACCTGATTTTGTAACATTGCTAGATGACTGTTTAAATACAAAAATAATGATAATAGGCAAGAATATTTACAATCTTTTATTTAAAAACATCAGCATAACATTTTTTATTAATCACGCCAAACTTATTAAAAATGCCTACAATTAGGAAACATAGTGATATAATTTAGGATAGAGTTCAGCTTATCCTAAAATAAAATAAATCATAAAATAAAATCAATATTAATTTTTATTAAATAGTTACTTGTTTTGACTTTTTATAGTAATAAAACATTCCTCACACTGCTTACACTTAACAAAACTTCTCAAATGTTATTTAAAGTAATATTATTAAAATAATTAAAGTAATATTTACATTCAAAGAATTAATTAAATAAGAACGCCTTCGCAAAGGAAACGCAGCTACAACACGCTCCTGTATTGCGGGTATTGCATTGACTTTCTGCAGGCGTTTTTAATTTTTTTTTCTCGTCTCGATAAAAATCTCGGCCAAAAAGAAATCTCGTCTCATGTAACGAGATTTAAAATTTCCCGAAAATTTCCCGAAATTTTGAGACTTGACCATCCCTACAAAAAATCATTTCCTTTAAAATTAGCAAAATCTAAATATAGACATTGCCAGTTGTGACATGCCCAAGACTGACATATGTTGCATTCGGAAACAAAAGCTTGAATATCTTGATTTATTTTAGGCCACCACACGTAACTACGCGCTAGTGCTTTCATTCGTGCCGCTCCTCGGTGTTCTGAATGCAAGAGTAGTAAAATTTCTCTTCGAAAAACAGGAGGTATGATAACACGAGATCCCCACAAAAGGCAATTTTCCTCTACCGTCAGTTCCCGATTCTTTTCAGTATATGGTTTTATGTTTTCATCCATAACATTAGGCCAACCATGTTGGGTAAAATCTAGTACTTTCGATAGTACAGGGTCAAACTTGGTAGCAATGCCTATCTCTTTGTAAGTTATTGGCAATTCACTTGTCATGGAAAAAAAATTAATTTCACCCTTTTTCTCTTCATTGGAAGATTGGCATGGAAGGCGTGAAAGAGCATCATCATTTAAGATTTTTTTAACACTTAGACTATTACTAATTTGAACAGTCTTACCATTTAATTTGTCCAGTCCTTGACCATTATGTACATCTTGAGCTATCTTACTCCAGTCTAGCTGTAGCACTTCCAACCAATTACGTCCCATGAGAACAGGTTGATTTGCAGTAGCTCCTTTGACAACTATTACAGGCAACTGCTTTTGCTGACTATCTTCTGTCCGAACGTTGGCCTGAAACTCTCCTAACACCTCAACATTTTCACCAGTATATGTCTTTAAACACATGTTAGTTTTGTGTAAACTAGATACGAGGCATGTTTTTTAAATAAGTACCGTTTTTAAACTTCTCCGTTCCAGCGCTGCCATTGGCATTTTGGACATTTGCGCTGTATATGTGCATCTATTGGCAAGCCCTAGCCGGAAATTCGACAACAATCGGCCGTGTTTACATCCGGTATCGAGCATTCAAAATGGTGCCGCCAATTGAGTATGCCGCCGACAGTGAAGTGCGCGCTGTAATTAGATTTTTATGTTCTAAAGGTGTGAAAGCCATTGAAATTTGTCAACAGCTTAGTGAGGTGTATGGCGAGAACATTTATGAGTGACGGAATGGTACAAAAGTGGGTAGGGGCATCTAAAGACGGCCCCACCAATGTTCATGATGAGTAACGCACTGGGTACTGGGGGCAGTGACGCTGCCCAGTGCGTTGCTCATGATGGACGTTGGTGGGGCCGTCTTTAGATGCCCTTCTGTGTTCGCTGGCCCTTACCCACTTGCGTACCATTCCGTCACTCATAAATGTTCTCGCCATACACCTCACTAATCTGTCGATAAATTTCAATGGCTTTCACACCTTTAGCACTTAAAACTCTAATTACAGCGCGCACTTCACAGTCGGCGGCAGTCTCAATTGGCGGCACCATTTTAAGTGCTCGATACCGGATGTAAACACGGCCGATTTTTGTCGAATTTCCGTCTAGGGCTTGCCAATAGATGCACATATACAGCGAAAGTGTCAAAAATGCCAATCGCAGAACTGCAACGGAGAAATTTAAAAACGGTACTTACTTAAAAAACATGCCTCGTACTTTTCCTTTAAATTTACTGAAATAAATATTATCTGGTAATACAGTGACCACAGCACCAGTATCTATGACCATTTCTAAGGGTATATTATTTACCAACACCTTGGCTGTGAAGCTCTTTGACTTAGGCCTAATTATATTGTCAGAATAGGCTATGGTAAATATTTCAAATTTATCCTGCCCTTAACCAGAAGTCGATCCTTTTTCTTCAGCAGGAAGTTCATCCTCATCACTGTTAGACCTATCATCACAATAGTTTATTCTAGACTTGACTTTGTTCCTATTCTTGTTTTGTCGACACATTATGGCTAAATGACCACGGATCCTACACAAATTACAATTGTAATCTTTATAGGGACAATTCTTACCTTCATGATCTTTCCCACAACGATAATACTGCTTTCCGCTTACACTGTCATAATTGTTAAACCTAGGCTTGTGATACTTTGGAGAAACTGGTCTATTATTTTGCTGCCCTACCCAATTTATGTCGGAACTATACTTATTCCTATACCCATCTGGGTGTAAAGCCCTCACACTACTTTCAGCATTTTCAATCAATAAAGCCATTTCTAATGCCTTGTCAAACTTGAGAGTTCCCCCCCTCTGACAATAGTTTACTCTGTATTGTACTTGAGCTCAACCCACAAAGAAATTTGTGTCTTAATGCTTCATCTAAAAATGAATCAAATTCACATGTTGAGGCTAACTTTTTTAACTGAACGGCATAATTGGAAATACTTTCCCCTTCTTGTTGATTTCTTTTATAGAACAGAAACCTTTCATAAGTTATATTTCGTTTAGGAACAAAATGGTTGCTCAACACTTCACTCATTCTCTCTAAGCTTACCTCTACAGGACTTTGAGGTACCAACAAGTTTTTAGCAATGGAATAAAGTTTTGGCCCCATTATTGAAATAAAGAAAGGAACTTTATTTTCTTCCTTGACTTTATTTATCTTCAAAAACTGCACTAACCTTTCATGATAATTCTCAAATGATTCCACTTGTGGATCAAACTCATCTAACTTACCAATATAGTTTTTCGACATTGTTCTGCTTGGCTTACTGTTGTTTAGTTTATTTTTTTAAATACTGCGCAAAAATCACTACTTTCTTTAACACGCACAATTTACATATACTATCCCGTCCTTGTCGCCATGTTAGGAATCAGAAATAACTCTAATGGTAATTGTATTTCATATTTTATTCAGAAAAGCTTACAAAATCAAACCTAATTGTAATTAACCTGACTCTCCATTCTTAATTTCTTGCTTGTTGTTTACTCAAATCCAGTCTATTCAACAATTGCTTATTACAGTATTAGTTTCAGTCCAGGCTTTGGATTACTAGCAAAGCCTACTAAATTAAGCATACATTTATATATATATATATATAAATTATTACTATCCATTTATTTTAAATTCATAACAATAATAATTATAGAAGAGGAAGGTGATAGAAGGGTGTGGAAGGACAGAAACCTCTTAAGGTTTCAGTGGCCACTTTGGTAAGTTACGGTAAATTATAGTATGTAACAGAAGGTGGTATCACTTCTAAATTGACTACTCTCTCTAACAACTGTACTTATAATCAGTGTGCGAATCGGCTGCAAATCTCCTATTAGGGCTTTTCACATCGACAAAATGTCTGTTTTATTTTAAAATTATCTGATTTAAAATGCATATTGTATAGGCCTATAATCGGATGAAAAATATTTGTTCACGCAACATTTGTTTACAAGATGATTTTCCACATTTAAACTGCCAGAAAATTTGTCTTTATACGTGTAAACTAGCTGATCTGAATTATAGACAGTTTTAACTGACTACTCTATTCCCGTACGTATGTTCTGACACAACAGCTAGTTTAGTTTATTACATAAAACATCTTCACAAGTGTAGTGAAGCCCGTGACAAAAAGCTATATAGGCCTAACCATAAAGAATTATGATAATTCAATAAACAAACTAAAATTATGTATTTTAAACCAGTTAATGTTTCTGTGGAATAGCGGCACTACAGGTCAGTGAGGGACATGAACTGAAGGTGACCACTCGCACGTTGGGCATGTCTGACCCAACTGAGTGTCAGCTCATGGTGGTGCTCAATCCGTCTGCAGCGCTCAGCAACGCTCAAGTCTCTATCACAGTTACTTCACCACTCATTGCACAACCTGCCACTCACCACCTTCCCAGCATCTGTGAGTACCTCTATCATGATCTTATGTCGTTTGATATAAGTTGTATTATAGCAAAAATATACTTTTGTGCTCAATTTGTAACCTTTCTCCGCCTACCAGTTTGGTAGTTATTACCAAAAGAATTAATTTTAGGTTGTATTAATAAACTTATATAAATCAGTTACAAAGGGTTGAGCTAATATGATATGTAACATGGCTTTAGTTACAGTTGTTTGTAAAAAGAACTAAAAATAAGTACTAAAAATAACTGCAATTTTCATAAACTAGATTATGACTTTGATGATCTGATCTTTGATAATCATTTAATATAATGCTACTCTGAGAAATGATTAGCCTCCATCAGTATTTTACAATATACTCAGATGATGAGTTGCCAAAGTATGATTAGTGTATTACAAGTATTTCATATGTAATATTATCTGCCAATAATCTGCTCTGTCTTTTTAATCTCTTTCAGGCTCAGAAGTAGAAATTGTGAGCCTAGTTTCATTCTCATCCTCACATCCTGTTCCTCTTCTATCTGTTGATGCACACATCGTTATTGTCTATCAGGTAGTCTTTTGTTTAAAATATTAATCTTACTATATATATTCAATTTGGTTGAAGGATTATGTTTTACAATAAGTACCTGGGGACCGAGCTTTGCTCGGGGAAAATCATTAGTTTACTCTGAAAGCAGTTTAGTATTGCAGATACATTAATCCACTCCCAAACTCCACACTGATCACCTTTACTACTTCCTTCACCACTCCCTACATTGTGGACCTGTTTGGCCTCCTTCCCTATACCATTTTAGAATTGCAGATACATAAATGCCACAGACAGTTCCCACACTCTGCACTGTTAGCCTTACTACTTCCTTCACCATTTCCTACGTTATGGACCTGATTCAAAGCATTTTAGGATTTAGACACCCTAATCTAATCCCCATTAACAGTTCCCACACTCCAGACTGCTCACCTTTACTACCTACTTCCTCCACCACTTCCTACGTCGCAGACCTGTTTCCCTTCCTTCCAACGGCATTGTAGGATTGTAGATACCTTAATGTAATCATCATAAACAGTTCCCACACTCCGGACTGCTCACCTTTACTACTTTCCTCACCACTTCCTACGTCGCGGACCTGTTTCCCTTCCTTAACATAGCATTTTAAGATTGTAGATACCTTAATCTAATCGACATTAACAGTTCCCACACTCCGGACTGCTCACTTTTACTACTTCCTTCACCACTTTCTACGTCGTGGACCTGTTTACCTCCCTTCCCATAGCATTTAAGGATTGTAAATACCTTAATGTAATCGTCATTAATAGTTCCCACACTCCGCCCAGCTTGCCTTGACTATTTCCTTCACCACTTCCTACGGCGTGGACCTGTTTTCCTCCCTTCCCATAGCATTTTAGGATTGCAGATACATTAATCTAATCGTCATAAACAGTTCCCACACTCCGGACAGCACGCCTTGACTACTTCCCTCACCACTTTCTACGTCGCCGACCTGTTTCCCTCCCTTCCCATGGCATTTTAGGTTTGCAGATACCTTAATTTAATTGTCATAAACAGTTTCCACACTCCGGAATGCTTGCCTTTACTACTTCCTTCACCACTCCCTACGTCACGGACCCGTTTCCCTCCCTTCCCATAGCATCATAGGATTGCAGATATCTTAATCTAATCGTCATATACAGTTCTCACACTCCGGACTGCTTGCCCTTACTACTTCCTTCACCACTTCCTACGTCGCCGACCTGTTTCCCTCCCTTCCCATAGCATTTTAGGATGCTAGCCTTTACTACAATCATAGATAAAAAAAAGTCCTGCAGCAATGTATCGAGTAATCTTCAGTATAATCTTTGCTCAATAGTAACAATTGATGTTTTAGCGAATTTCCCATATAGGGAATATTAGCGAATTTCCCATATAGGGAATAAGCTATTACCGTAGTACTCACGATAAGACCTGGACCTGGGACCGATTTTTTTTTCGTTTTGAGGTCCCTAGAGGCCAAAAACACCATCCGTTCAAATTCATATATATATATATATATATATATATATACTTTTGTGCCCACCCGGTTTGGCAGTCAGTGCGCTGGTAATTTACTCGGTGTGGCAGTCACCCGCCCGAAAGCCAGTCAGCTCTCCCATAAGCCAGTCAGGTATGGCTTCCCGTGCACTTTATACGAATGAAAACAGCAAACCGGTGCTGCTGCCTGTGTCGATAAGCGTAACTGCAATACCAATGCGGAGACTGTCTCATCGTGTGTTCTATCGTGGAGTAGTGTAGTCAAGTACGGCACCCTACCCTACTTTGTAGCGGTAACACCCAGCGGTCTGTAACCTTCGTTTACTCCTTGTTACTATTTGTGTTGGGATAGTGATTAACTACGTGTTAATGTTTAAACATGTTCATACTCCAAATAAATATGATGCACCTATAATAAGGATCGTTGAATATTAATTAATTATAATTGGTTGAATCTTGATCCTACCCGTTCATCATCTCATATTTTAAGTTATTTTATTTTTTTTTTTACCTTCAGTTGAAATTTTAGTCAACTTCTCTTTTATACAATATTTTATATCCTAGTACAATATTACAGTGTTTCCACGGACCGGGAACTATACGGATTTTCTTTATCTCGAGAAATATACGTGAATCTTGTCCGAGATACGGGAACTGTTTTTTACGCAATTGCGTTACGCGAAGGAGTAACTATTACCACATATAATATAACCCCTCTATTACATATGACAACGATATTATTCCATCTGATAAGAATAACCATGAAACTACACTCGAAAGATAAAAGATTTGTATAATAATTTTAATTTAACAAACAAACTATTACAGGAATTCTATTTTGGGACGGATGAATGATAAGGAAGCAACAAAAAGTGGTCACGAGTGCAAATGCGGGGGGGAGGGGGGTACAATATAACAAACGCCAGAAACGATTATTTGTTTACTTTTCAGATTCTCTCTAACGATATACAGATTGTGGACTTTACGATTTAAGTTATCCTGCAATTATTTCAGTTCAATCCCATACCTATCCTTATGGTTTCCTATCTATTATTTTTCAAAATAAATAGTAAAGCTGGTTAAACTATTTTTTATTTTATTTTCTTGAAACCAAACACTCTTTACCATCTGGTATTCTGCAGAGTCAAATGTTTAACACTGTGTTTATAAAAATTGAATGGCCACACAATTTCGTGTTTAATTTTTTTTAAGTAATAGTAACTGGAATATTTATATATACCAATAAGTTCTGCAAGCTGTAATAAATGCTTCTGATTAATATCAAAATAAGTTATAATTTATTTTGTATAATACATCAGTCATTGAATACAAACCATAATGGGTTTCTATTTGTAACTTTAACTTGCAGATACAGTAGAACCTCGCTTAACTGGAGTCGCATCATCATGATGCCTATATATTATATAACCTCACAAATCCCAAGAAAATGTTTTATGAACTGTGTTTTTCAGTCTAATATTTCGATATGAACGATATATTTAACTGTTTACGGTAATTTTTATGTGCAGTAGGTTCCCAATTATTGAAATATTACAGTTCATTTGACAAAAATAAGATGGAAGCAAAACGGAGAAATACCGATCAGTAGCGTCAAGGTCAAGCTATACGCTCGCACCTACAGACTGACAATCTTGCACTGACACTGACATACTGACAATCGTCTGCTCCTGTCTGCTGTCACAACACTACAATATTTTGTGGCTGGGTCGTTAGGTGATTATTAAGTACAGTACTATGATTTTATGGTGTTTTATGAGTTATTTAATATTTTTATCCCCATACTTCTGTTCTGAAACATTATGTAGTAGTAGCCTAGGATGACTACGGTATCAATAGTCTTCTAGTCTACATTTTCTTTTGTTTTGTTCTTTACGTGATTTATTGCTGTACAGTAAGCAAGTTTTGTTTTGTTTGAGTAAGCATACGGTGTAGTTTTTATTAGTGAACCAAGGTTAATGACTTATCATATCACGGTTGCGCAATACCTATTGTATTTTGACTATGTAAAATGCAAATTTATAATCACGTTAACGTCCATTTATATAGTGTACCGGAACGGCATTGTTCCTGAGTAAGAAACATATAAATATCATATTAAAATTATCCAGAAGTCCTTAGTTACTCACACAGTAAAAAAAGTTTTAGGCCTAAATCATTTGAAACCTGTACATTACATATTTTTGGTCGAGTTTTCGACCACTGGACGACCACTAGTTAAAGTTAATTGTATTACAACAATCTTTATAGTAAGCAATATAAGCTTGAATCGGACTTATCTGCCTTCAGCTAATCCATCATATGATAGTACGTTAGAGAGTATGCCCATGCTGAAGTTTTACTTATACTTGAAGAATGACTTAATTTAGTACCAAGAAATAAATCACATCCCTTACATACACTGTGCTGTTTTAATGCTGTGTAGTTGATTGCTACTGTATTAACCTTTGATCGCATATTAATTCCTTCACTAGTGTACATGTTGCTCAAAATCGAGCAATTGCAAAGAAGTACAGGAGTTATTTATAAACAAATGACTTGTTTAAAACTAACAACAGACATAATTTCCGATGATTTTGAAAGAGTCGACTAAAAGATTATCAACTAATGGAAATACTCACAATTTACATAACAGTCCTATTCCAGTTTATAGGGTTAGTTTTTAACTATCAAACTGCCCATGGACGGGGAAAGGTAAGCTTACAATTTAAGTCAACGTAAAAAAGCTGTCAGCTTTTATAATGCACCGTACTTAAGTTATTTAGCTAATTTGTAGACAAAAAGGTGTAGCCTACTTTAAACTCTACAGAACAGATTTAGGCAAAAACTGGCAGAACTCTGAAATGGTGTTATTTATCATAGGCATAGTCATACGCCAAATCCTTATAATACAAATTCAATAATTAATACGATGACTAATGATGACTTGAATGATATGTTTTAACTTATATCATTAAACACAAACCAACATCCAAACCTATACACATTTTTAATACAACGTGGATAATTATTTACACATTGACTGTTTAATTAACATATGTTCTTCTTCTCACTTTTAATTTTTGTTTCGCAACGGGAAAAATCTGTTTTATAATCATTTAAATAGATTTATAATAAACAATCCATCATAAAGATTAAATAAACCTACCACATAGTTGTTTTATTTTTTTCGATCAGCTGTCTGAAATTGCGAAATTGGCATTTGACAGTTTAGTTCTGGTTGTTTACTTTTAAATGTCAAAGCAAATGGAAACATTGTGAATTTCCTCATGCTTCCATGGACACCAAATATTAATATTTAATTTCTGACAACAGCTGGAGTTTCAAAACAATCTTTGTTTCCCATGTTAATCTTATGGATAGATACGAAACTTTAAAGGGCCCCAGGGCCTCACTCTCTAATTATTTCCTTAAAAAGAAAGTTTCCTGCACAACTTCACGTTACGCTCTTTCCAATGACACCAAAAACATGTCAATCGGTTCAGTAGTTTCGGAGGAGTAATTGT